AGTTGATTCTGACCCATAGCGACCCTGCATAGGTTTCCTGGGAGCAGCTGGTGAGCTTGAACCACTGATCATGCGGCACAGCCTACAATATGAATTACACTTCAATTTAAAGAAAACAAAACCCTTCACAACTGAACCAATAGACAATATCATGATAAACAGAGACAATATTGAAGTTGTCAAGGACTTCATTTTACTTGGACCCACAATTAATGCTCATGAAAGCAGCAGTCAAGAAATCAAACAACAAATTGCTTTGGGCAAATCTGCAAATGAACTCTTTAAAGTGTTAAAAGAACAAATTTGAGGAATAAGGTGTACTTGACCCAAGCCATGGTATTTTCAATTATCTCATATGCATGCGAAAGCAGGAATGAATAAAGAAGACTGGAAAAAAAAATTGATGTGTTTGACTGATGGTATTGGTGAAGAATTTTGAAAGTATCATGGACCTTAAAAAGAACAAACAAACATGTTTTGGATAAAATACAGCCAAGTTGCGGGACCATGCCCTGAGAAAAATACATCATGTTTGGTAAAGTGGAGGGTCATCAAACTAAAGGAAGACATTCAGTGAGATATATTGACATGGTGACAACACCACTGCGCTTAAACAGAACAGTTGTGAAGATGGTGCAGGGCGGGGCAGTGTTTCGTCCTGTTCTACATAGGGTTGCTACGCGTAGCAATCAACTTGACAGTACCTAACACCACCAACAATATGTATGAACTGGAACCTGAGTAAAATACTTTTTAACTTACCATTGTATAAATACTCGTATATATCTGTAGTTTATTTTCTCAGTCCACAGGTTATTTTTTATTGTAATTTTTTTGCTAGATACCACCATGGTTAAGGAACTCTGGTAGTGTAGTGGTTACGAATTGGGCTGCCAACTTCAGGGTCAGCAGTTAGAAACTACCAGCTGTTCCACGGGTGAAAGATGAGGCTTTCTGCTCCCGTAAAGATTTACAGCCTCAAAAACCCTGTACAGGGTCACTATGAGTCAGAACCGACCCCACGGCACATAACCACTACCACTGCCACCAGGGTTGCCCCTCTGTGGGCCAAGTAACTAGAAGAGAACTATTAAGTCAAAATTATTCTTCATATAGCATAATTTAGAAATGTTGTAGTGTTGTTGTTAAGTGCCATTGAGTTGGTTCCTACTTACAGCAATCCTGTACAGGGTTTCTGAGGAGTGGCTGGTGAGTTTGAACCACCAAATTTACAGTTCAAACCGAACTTACAGTCCATTGCTTATCTTACAGCCCCACCTCAGGACTCCAATTTAGCAATATATAAGTATACTTTAGCAAATTATTTTCAAATATGTTATCTAACTTAATTCTTAATAATTTTAAAAGCAATTAAATGAGGGTGCTTCAAAAAATTTATGGAAAAATAGAATTTTTCCATCAAGTCTTTGAAGTTTCCTCATATTATAACCAGTTTACATGTGAGAAAAGCGAGCTATACAGTGATTATTTTGGCTTGAAGGTGGCACAGTGGTAAAAGTGCTCAGCTGCTAACCAAAAGGTTACTGGTTTGATTCCACCGGCTGCTCTGCAGGAAAAAGATATGGCAGGCAGTCTGCTTTCTGTTCTCATAATGATTGACAGCTTTGGAAACCCTCTGGGGCAGTTACACTCTGTCTTATTGGGTCACTGAGTCAGTATTGCCCCCAACAGTAATCAGTTTGTTTTCTTGGGTTTTGAAGTAAAGTAGTAATTCAAGAGCAGAGCTGACATTTGAATTTAATTTAAGTTCTTAGTTTAGTGTGCTTTCATCTACCCTGGCAGCTGTCCATTGCTACTGTTACAAATCCTATTTTACCAGTAATTATCTCTGTGGCCTGGGAGAGTCGGTTCATCATCTGAATCTCAAAGTGACCCAAGACCTAGCTGTAAAATTCAATTGACCCAAATTTTACTTCAGTTGACTTTGCCCATAGTTAGGTGAAACCTCAGGCCTCAACCTTTAATTGAATATTATATGTTTTTATGTTCTATATAAATGTTCTTGTTAAGTGTCATCATGTCAGTTCCAGCTCATAGCAACCCTGTGTAGAGTTTCCAATGAGTGGTTGGTGGGTTTGAACCGCCGACCTTGCAGTCAGCAGTCAAGTTCTTATCCTACAGTGTCACACCAGAAAACACTAGAATCAATATTAAAAGGGATCAGTATTTTAAATATATTGCTTTTAAATTTTTACCTGTTTTTATTTTCTTTTTTTAGTGTACGAAAGAATCCTCAAACCAAGAAAATAGAAATTACATCTTCTGTCTATAAAGTTACAGCATATGTAAGTTATGAGGGAATATTTTCAACTTATTTATTTTAATTTGGAAATTGGAGAAAGTAGGTAACAAGCATGCAAGGGTACAGCTGTAGTGGACCTATTGTAAGCCAGACTTTATCCAGGACCCCATTCAGTGTCTGGTCCCCTACCTCCTACCTCAACAAAAGGACTGGGATTCTGTTTTCTCTCTCCAGCTGTCCATGTCAATTCAGTTCTTGTACCTTCTAGGTCACAACTGGTCCGGGTATGCCCCTCTACTCGGTGTACAGTTGCTGACATCAATTGCTATGCTTTCCTTTTTAGTTGTTATTGTTGTAGGAGTTCTTTGTATAGTCCAGACATTAGTTCCTCCCGCTCTGTAGATATTCTCTTAACTTTCTTGCTAAAGTCCCTTTGATGCACAAAATTTTTTTTAAAATTTTGAGTAAGTGGACTTGATATATATATTATTGCTTGTGCTCTTGATGGCCCATCTAAGAATCTGTTGTAGAAAACTAGATCTCAAAGTTTTATCCCTATGTCTTGTTTTAAGAGTTTGTGATTTTAATTCTCACATTTAGGACATTTAGCCATTTTGATTTATTGTTTGTATATGGTGTGAGGTTTAGATTCAGTTTCATTCTTTCGCATGTGCAGATCCAGATATCCTAGAACTGTTTTTTGAAAAGACTATTCTTTCCCCATTGAATAGACTCTTGTACCCTTGTCAAAAATGAAGTGACCGTAGATGCATGGGTTTATTTCTGGACATTCAATTCTGTTATATTGTGGTGCTGTAAGATAAAGCACATTCTTATCAATGGAGAAAAGATTGAAGTTGTCAAGGACTTCATTCTTCTTGGATCAACTATCAACACTCACGGAAGTAGCAGTCAAGAGATCAAACGACGTATTGCACTGGGCAAATCTGCTGCACAGGAACTTTTTAAAGT